GAGGAGAAAGAGGAGGAGGACGATGAGGAAGAGGAGGAGGAGGAGGACGAGGACGAGGAGAAGGAGGAGGAGGAAAAGGAGAAGGAGGAGGAGGAGGAGGAGGAGGAGGAGGAGGGGACAGGCGGGGAAGCGCCTCCTGGGCGCCTTCGGCGCCAGGAGGCGCTTGGAAAATTAGCGACGTGAGCTGCTTGGCAAACCCCCGCTTTGCCACCCCCCCCTTTCGTCCAGCCCGCCTTGCCCGCAGGCCCGCGGGGCAGTTGGCGCCACCCTGGCGCATCGGTTCGACAATAGAGGGGCGCCCTGGCTCGCCCTTGCCTCCCGCCCCCCCCCCCTGCCCCAGTCTGTGCTGTCTGTCGCCTTCTCGCTGGCGACCGCGCGTCGGCGCTAATCACCGGCACCGCCGCCGTTAATTTTCAATCTGGCGGGCGCCACCCCACCCCGCGATTGTGCCCGAGCAGGGAAACTATGTCTTTTGTTGTCTTATTATATTTATTTGTGTATGTATATGCATATATATATATACACATATATATATGCATAAATATACATAGATATAAGCGCCCCCACGGACTTGTTGATCACAAGCTGACATTACCTGTGGGGCCACAATCATTCACACATACATTTTTTATATATATACATATACATATACATCGCCATCGATGTCCTGTCCATCCCTTCAACTTGATTGGGTCAAGGGCACAGTGGTGGCGGAACCATCTTCCTAGAGAGTTCCCCAGGAGGAAGGGGAGTGATTGGAGAGGTAGGAGAAGGAAAAGAAGGAGGAAATCAGCGGCGGCAGGCAGAGGAAGAGGGCGGGGGAAGGGGTCGGAAAGGAAGGGGCGGGGAGGGACGAGGAGGGCTCCAAGCAAGTGGAAGGGCAGGCAGGAGGCGGAGTTTAGAGGGTGGAGGAGAAGGACTCTGAGTTCCCACACGCCTTTGGCTGCGCGATCTGCTGGGATTCTGCGCCGCGCCTCGGGAGCTCGTCGCTGCGATGCCGCGGCGTGGCGTGGCCGTAACGCTGCGCGGTGGTCACGCCGCTGCAGGATGGCTTTCTGCACGGCTGGGTGGCGTCGTGTCGCGGCGGCGGCGGCCCCACCGCGGGCATTCAAGGTTGAGCGCCACCATTGGCACGTCGACGTCCTCCTCCTCCTCCTCCTCCTACTCCCTCTACTCCTCCTCCTCCTCCTCCTCCTCCTCCTCAGGCGCCGCTTGGACCAATGGCGGCCTTGCATACGCGCCTACTGTATCTCTCTTGCGCTGTCACTGTTGCGCACATTTTTTTTCCCTTTCCCTGGAGTCTCCTCCGCATGTCATCCCCTCGACCTCTTAATTTTGTAGCGTACAATGTGTGTTCATTGATACAACCAGGAAGGTGCCAGGACGTATCACGAGAGTTCAGTACAAAGGACGTTGTGTTTGTGACGGGGACCCGACTACGGAAACGCATGCACGACACACCCTGTATTAACGTGCCAGATGAGAAGGCCCACATACTGTCATGGGGATATGCACGGACACCGTTCCGTAGTGTGCATGCGGGCGTGCAAATACGGTTGAGAAAAGACATGTTTCGTACTCAACATATTGTGGAAATTCTTTCCCCACCACCCACCTTACAGGGGAGGGTGGGCGCTGTGATTGTGAGAAGTGGACGGTTTCATTTGCTATGTTGTGCCATGTACCTGCCACCACGGCCGTCGGTACGACGGAACGAGGCTGCATACCAGAGATGCGTGCGGGAAATATTGGGGTGGGTTGACAGTGTCTGTGCTCGACAGCCCGCGCGTGTGTCCATTGTACTAGGCGGTGACTTCAACGACCATGCGGGCATACAGCGAGAGGGAGGCACCCCAGTAGATCCTGCCTTGGATCCTGTGGGCCCGCTGGCGCCGCGCCAGGAGCACTTTGCAATGAAGCAAATTCGTGAGCTCCTGGGGAAATATGGGCTGTGTCTTCTAAACACGTTTGTAGGAGGCCACGACACATACTACGGACACCGAGGCAGCACGCGTATTGACTACATTGCGGCACCGCGAAGCTGGCTTCGCTCGATCTCCCACTCACGTATCCTTGAACGGAAGGGTCGGAAGCTACAGATGGTGAATACCGCCCGACGGTGGGACCACTGGCCGCTGCAAGTGCAGGTGTGGTATATACTGGACTTCCCAACGGTTTCATCCAAAAAAGAACACAGATGGGATCTGGATAGGCTCGCACAAGGATTGATGGTGGGAAAAGATCGGGGACTGTTTCTTCGGGAGGTGGAGCGTGCATGTATGAACGACCAGAGTACATGGATGCAGCACGAGCATAATGACTGTCCTGATCATGCATGGGGGTCTCTGGTCAAGTGTGTGCAGGAGGTGGCTCATAAGTACTATGCACAGCGCACGCGCGATGATGTGACGGTACAGGAGGGGAGGGAACAACAACGTGAGCTACTGACTCGTCGGGCCAATCTGAGGGAACAGATGGGGAACATGGAGGGTCACGAGGAGGGGAGGACTACAGAGCTGGCCAGAGTGTGTATAGAACTGACTAATGTCACGCGTGACCTTCGGAGGCATGCGAGAGAGGCTCGTGCCCAGCGTCTTGACTCCCTTGCCCAGCAAATTAAGGGGGCCTGGAGGAAGAGGGACCTTGCCCTGGTTGCGAGGCTGTCGCGTCGCATGGCGATGACGGCAGTAGGTCCAGGAAAGAGGTTTCACAATGTGCCGATGGCGATACGCCCCACGTGCGAGATGTGGACGGAGTTCCTAGGCCGCCCTGGCAGGGAGGGAGGGCAGAGCTGCACTGTAGTTGACATGCCACCGATCTCAGATGTTCCAGCTGACCCAGGGCCTGGCCTCGACCTATATGACCCCGACTGGCGCGATGCATGTGGGAGAGACGTTGCGGCAGTCAGACGAGCTGTGCTCAAGATGAAACTTCGGAAAAGCTGTCCGCCCTGGAGTATACCCCTTGAGGTTCTTCGCATGCTGCTTCATCCCAGTATGTTGTGTGCACGAATGCGTCAGTATCAGCATGCCTTTAGCGCTACCCTGCCTGATATGCTTTGGTTTCACAGGCGTCTGTTTGGGGTCCTAAAGATGGTTCGTGGGATGGGGAAGCTACCGAGGGACTGGAGCCGTTCCTGGGCGTGCCCGATACCGAAACCCTCAGGCAGCATCGGTATGAAAGCCCTGCGTGTTGTGCACCGTATGTGTCACTTCAGTAAAGCATACACAAAAACGGTGACAGACAGGGGGGACTACTGCTACACTGACCGTGGCTTATTGGACTGTCTACATGGGGGGCTGAGATGCAGACGACGAGAGACTGCTCTGACTATCCAACTTGTGACGGGCTGGCGCTTAGCAGCACATGGGGTCTCACGTGCAACGGTGTTCTATGATCAGACGAATGCATGTGGCAGTATTAGGTTGGAAGCATTCGACGACACTGACATGATGCATGCTGCACCTGAGGATGTATTCATAGGTACCACGACCAATCACAATAGCTGTATTACGATTGATGCACAAGATGGACCGTGTCATTCATTAGTCAATGAGGGGGTTCTCCAGGGACATCAGAGCGCACCCAGTAAATATATCAGGACGTTTGCCCGAACTGTGCTTGCCCCATGGCTGCATTTACGCAGCCAAGAACCGACAGCCCAGGATTCAGTATGCCAGCACCCGTGGGATACTGATGAATGCCCGATCGACGTGAGCACCACGGTCTATCTCGACGATGCTGCACACAAGTTGATTGCTCGCACTGCACAGGGATTAGCAGCAAGCGTCCGAAAAGCGAGTGAGCAGTTCGACATGCAGTTGCACACAGTAGGAGGAGCTCAGAATCACGGGAAACAGGTTGTCGTGCCGCGTCTTGTGGGGCAGGGAGCACATGTTGAATCTCGTGAGCTGTCTGGTGGATTGTGTGTGCTTTCTGGTTCGGTTGCCACGACCACGACGTACTTGGGGGGACGCTTTAATCAGTCTTACCGAGTGGGCAAGCATAGGGAGGCCGTGATCCAGAGTATGAAGTTTGCTTGGTATTCGATGGGGCGTTTCTGGTTTACCGACAAGGTCCCGAGGCACCTCCAGGTTCTGGTTTTCAGGGCGAGGGTCCAATCAGCTGGCCTATCTGGGATGGAGGCTTACTGTGTTTCAAAAAAGGACTGTGAACCGATCGATGCCCTTTTGGTGAAGTGGGGGCGTACCTTGATGCATGGGGAGGGGACCTTAAAAACACCACAGCCCGATGGGACCGCCAAGCATACGAGTATGCCTTCGCGTGCAGTCTGGAAAGCATTGAGAATGGTACCAACCTTTTTAGAACTCCGCATTCGCAGGCTCCAGTGGTGGCAATCGGTCGCGACGAATCCCCAGGATAATCGACAATTGCTTGCGGCAGTTTTTGGCCAGTTTAGGTTTGAGGAACAACCGACGATCCTGGACTACCGACTTATGATGACAGAAGATGGAGACTACCGCGGTAATCCCTGGGCTAGCCAGGTGGTGGGTGATCTGAATTCCATAGGGTCTGTCAAAGGAGGAGAGGAGCTTCTTCAGGAGTTGGGGGGGCAAGGTGCTGAAGGTCTTCACTCGAGAGTATGCCAGTCATTTTGAGCAGCTTGATTTCTCACATCTTCGGAAGGCCTTCTGGAGCACTGAACCCACATTAGAACCCTCAGAGCGCGACCCTCCTGTCCCTCCTCCTCCAGCAGCAGAACCAGCAGTGTGGGTGTGTCGGGAACTCAATGAGGACGGGAGCGAGTGCGGACTGCAGTTCCACGAACAGCGAGGATGGTATGCTCATATGAGGTTTACGGAGGGAGGGACGCACAGACACAGAGCTATATGCCAAGTGTTGACTGTTACAAATCAGTGCCCGTGGTGTATGACGACTTTTAGTAACCGTGCCGTCGCACGACAGCATGTCAGGAACCTATTTTTGAAGCGGGTGTGCCACGCGGACCGACACCACTTCGTTCACAAAGTCGAGGAACCAACATGCTATGTATGTCCAGCTTGTGGTGACGACTTCCCGAGCCTTTCGGCTCTGCAGGTGCATATACGGACTCACGTGCAACGATCGGCTGAAGCATATATTTCACTACCAGCCCCAGAGACTACCCATGGCGACCTGGGCCCTACCCCCGATCACGGCCGAGAAGGCCCAGGCAGCGATGGAGGTGGACGACAAGTCACGCACCTCCAAGAAGAGCCCATTCGGAGATGGCAAAGGCGGAGGCAAGGGCAAGGAGGGGACCAAGTTCAGGAGGGTGGCAGTCGGGGGGGACTCAGCGAACCAGGACGACGAGAGCGATGGCGAAACGGCGGTGGAGGTCATGAAAAGCATCCCTGAATCATGCCCAGCGGATTCGAGGGCTCGAGGGCGCGCTCCTCTCGACCCACCTCATGCCCCAGGATCACAGTATCAATGCAGTAGCAGTAGCAGCAGGGCAGCAGCACCGACAGATGGTGGAGGGCAAGCCAGATCACGCACACGGTCCCCCGTCATTGGCAGTAGGGATAGCGGTGCTCGAGGCTCTGGCGACCAATGTCCAGTTGAACAGTGTGGCAGAGCTCAAACAGTGTATGGATTTCCTGAAAGACTTCGTGCAGCGGCTAAAACAAGAGCCTTTAGCAATAGCATGCGAATACGTGAAATACTATCGCGTGAAGTCAGCCTACCAGCACGAAGGCCAACCGGCCCAAGTACGACACACATACCTGATCAGTGCATGGGTCCAGATCAATGGAATGATGCAGCCAATGAATGCTATCCTCACCCGCTTGTACATCGCGATGGGCAGTGTACCGAAGCCAGGCCCCCCACCGAGGAACACAGGAGAGCGCCGCATTCAAGGGTCGCTGGAGAGGCTGCTCAGGGGCAAGAAGAAGTGAGTAGAAGTGCACAGAGTCCTAGGCCAAATATGAGTATAGCTGAGAGAACGAATGTTCGATTTACAGGTAAGTGGGCCCCACCAGACAGCTGCAACGCTCCGAGGAAGCGACGCAGGAGGGCGTCTGGATAGGGATGAGTTTCTTAGAGGCCAGGGCTGGCCTCCTTGTGTTTCTCTTTTTGCAATTATCTTGTTGTCCGCACCCCCCCCTCGCTGCTCTCTGCGCTGCTGTCTCTCTCTTCTCTGTCGTCGTCTCCTCCCCCCCTGCCTCGCCTTCTTCTGGATCCGTGGCCTCTCGCGCTCCTCTCGTGGGGTGGCCCCCCGCCTTTCCCTCTCCTTCGTCGTCCTGCTCCCTGGGGGGCGCGGGCGGGAGGGAGCATGTGGGAGCCGCGGATGGGTAGTGTCCGAGTGCGACCGTGCGACACGGACGCGATGGACCAGGCACCGCCCCCGCCCCTCCATCTCTTTCCTTTTTTTCTTCCTGCCCACAGTCTGTTGACATGTTGTGGCTCATGGTGTCCCCGTAGTTGTGCCAGGGGGAGACTCCCAACGTTTTGACAACGCGGGATGCATAGTGCATCACTCGCGCACGCCGATCCCACGCTGTGCAAGGTAAGTGAGCATCTGGATCATATGGCGATAGACCGACCGACCGACCTCCTCCTCCCCCTCCTCCTCCTCCTCCTCCTCCTCCTCCTCCTGCGCCCCCAGCGCGGGTATTCAAGGTTGAACGCCACCTGTGGCACGTCGACGTCCTCGGCCTCCTCTTCTTCCTCCTCCTCCTTTTCCTCCTCCTGTGCCCCCAGCGCGGGCATTCAAGGTTGAACGCCACCTGTGGCACGTCGACGTCCTCCGCCTCCTCCTCCTCCTCCTTCTCCTCTTCCTCGTCCTCGTCCTCCTCCTCTCCAGCGCGGGCATTCAAGGTGGAACGCCACCAGTGGCACGGAGTCGGTCCATGCCGGACGATCTGCTCCATCGGAAGGGCGCGACGGTTCAAGGTCGGAAAATCTACGCGGTGCCAAGAGCCAACGCACAAGTCGCGCCCACGCGACTTTGCCGTATGCCAGTTGGCGCTGCTTCGGGGGGGTTCCCCGGGCGCCTGTTGGGGGCCTCTTGTGGGTCTCCAGGGTCGTTTGGGGCTAGTCTTGCTCCTTGTTCGGGGTCGTCTTGGAGGGAATGCGAAGCGCCGTAGCGCGGAAGGTCCGTTCCTGAGGTAGTCTGTGTCCCCCTTTCGGGGCCCGTTGAGGTTAGAGGCTCTCTTGAGCCCTTTTCGGGCCTCGGGAGCCATCTTGGGACCATCTGGAGACATCTGAGTCCCATTTTGCGTCTCCAAGAGTAGGACGGCCCAAAGAGGCGCGAAGATAGCTCGAAGACGGCCCAGGATGGCTCCAGTCAGAGCCCTCAATGGGCACGAGAATCTGAAAGCAACTTTCTGCCATGTCTCTACTATGCTTGCAGCTTCGGCCTCGAGCGCGCCCAAGATGGCGCAAGCAGGCACTCGCCATGGCCCCAGGACGGCGCCCGAGGGGTTCCCATCACTGCTCCCCGAGACGAGCGCGGGCCCAAAAATCGGGCGTTGCGAGCGGGCCGAGTAGGCAGCTCGACGAGCGGCTGGAGAGCAGGCCTCGGAGGCTCCCGAGATTGGTGGCCCCACGGCCTTCAAGATTTGTTTCTCCGTTTGCATCGTGATACAATGCAAACGCTGGAATCGGGACCTCTCGGGGCTCGGGTGGGGTTCGTGGCCGAGGCCCGTCGTGGCCAGCATAGACCCCTCGTTGCTGATTTGACGCTCCCAAGTGCAGCACCACGACTGTACGAAGTGTATTCGAACAAACGGGGGCGCACCTCCTACGTGGCGGAGGCACGGTGTCGGAGACCAGTGTGGCCCTCCTTTAGACCCTTGTCTCATCCTCGAACGAACAGGCCTTACCTGCAAGGGCCGCCACGAGGGCGCGAAGCTAAGCGCAGTTCGCGACTCGCGATCCCTCACCCTCATCCACATCCTCCTCGTCCTCCCCTTCTCCCCTGGAGGGGCGGCGCGAGACCGCGACGTTACGTATTCGCGCGTCGCGCGGCGCGAAGCGCGAACAGAGTTACCCGTGGATTTGGCGTCACACTTCTTGGGAGTGGCTCACGCTTCGGGGGAGCGGGAGGTGGTCGGGGCTCTTGACCTGGCGGGATCTCGCCAGCGGTGTTTGAGTGCCAGGCTGTTGTTGAATCCTTGGCCTGCGCGCGCAGGGGTAGAGAACAAAGTATGCAGACATGGCGAGTGCTTCAGCGGCGCTTGCGTCGAGCACCGATTGCCACACTCGCCCTCTCCGCGCAGCGCATGCTCCGCGGACCCCACGGCAGCGCGATCAGGAGCTGCTAGACTTGTGCTCCGAGCGCCTGGACGCTCTCGACGTCGAGGCCAGGCAGCGCGTGACCCCCGAGGTTGGAAGACTGAAAACTTAACCACCAGGACCGTTTCTTCCGCATCATAGCGCAGATCATCGGGGTGGCTTCCGCGGTCAATGCTCCCCCCACCTAGGCAACACTGGACCTCCAAGCCCATCCCCGGGATCCAGGATCCATTTCGATCCGATCGATCCGATTGATATTGGTTCCGGCCGGCCCGATCCGATTCGATTACGATGTTCCAGCGATTTGATGTGGCCAGATGATCGCGTGGCGTTGTCGTATATCTTGACGCAGCCGCCCCGAGAAGTTTTCGACTCCGTGCCGAGTCAGCCCGATCCGATTCGATGCTGATTGATGTTGTGATCTGACCAGCGATGTCGGAGGAGCGAGCTCGGTGGTCAAGCTTCTCTGCGGGAGGGTTCAGCTCTTGAGCAGAGGGGGAGTTCTTGCAAAGGACGGAGGCGGGATGGGCCGAATGTCGCTAGATAACATGATCGACCCACGAACCCTGCACGGAATTCAGAGACGTAAAGACAGCAACGGTAAGGCATTTGGTTGGGCGACAGGCATATGCAATGCTGAAGGTATCGATCGTGATGTACCGTGCCAAGGATCGTCCTGTGCTGTTCTGAAACGAGATGAGTAAATGCCGCAAATGATCTATAGCGCTGTGGATCAATTCACCCTTGGTTTCCGAATCTTGATCGAACTTATCTGGACATTAAGTTCGAGCTGCCTGAACGCATAGCTGGCCCAGAACTGGTTGCAGTCGAAGCGTGTGGGTCGCCCAATCAGCCCGATCTCAGGATCCAACTCAGTGCCGAAGCGGGACGAGACGACTCGGGGCGCAGGGCGCATGGACTCGGAGCCCTCTTGGACAGTCTGGGGGCCTCTTGGGGCAATCTAGGCGTGAACAGGTCGCGCGACAGGACGCGACAAAGCCCCAGGAGGCACGCGGCAGGCCCCAATGAGATACAGCGCCCAGGTTAAAATGACATGTTTTCCAGACAGTGAGAAAGAAGTTCCTGAATCAGCGGCAAAATCCGAACCATACCCCCGCCGATCAACGATTCAGGCAATTCGATGGGCGGCGGGGGTAGGGTTCCGAATTCGACGAACACTTTGCGAAATCGTAACCCTGCCCCAGCCTCCTCCCATCGATTAAGGAGAATCGCTGGTTGCTCTGGGTAGGGTTCGGATGTCGCCACCTACTGAAGCATTCGACGGTGTGTGCGAGAGGTTGCTGAACACATGCTCGACGTTTTTGGATATCAGCCTTGTGGTATTGATGCCCCGTGGTTGCGTGTTGCTTTCCCCCATGCCGCTGCTTTTTTTTCCCGTGCCATGCTGGGGGTCGTGCCGGTGCCATGTTGGGAGCGGGCCGGTGCCATGCTGAGCGGAATTCGTCCTTGATGAATAACGGGGGGAGGGAGGGTGGGTCGGCGGATCTGTTGCTGAGGATGTCCCAAGCAAAACGCTTATCTTTCAAATTCCGAACGATTAAACACGTGGCAAAGTAAACATGTTCGTTGGTTGCAGATGTCTCGAGCGAGACGCTTGTTTTTGCAGAATTTGTTGAGGATGTCTCGGGCGAAACGTTTGTCATGTCCTATATATGTATACATATAGATTGCTCCTTTCTTGGGCACCAGAATTCAGAGGATGTCTCAGGCGAAACGCTTGTTTCCACGTGTCCAGGTTGCCCAGGAGGTATCCCGAGCTGGAACCACGTGCTTTCACTTGTCCAGGCCACCCAGAGAGGTATATACCATGGTTGCCCTGCGCTGGAACCATGTGTTTTTACATGTCCAGACCACCCAGGGCGGTAATTATCTAACATGGTGGTCCCGAGCTGGAACCAAGTGTTTTCACGTGTCCAGGCCTTTCAGAGCGGAATCTAACATGGTGGCCCCGGGCTGGAACTATGTGTGTTTCACATGTCCAAGTCATCCAAGGGCTGGGGCATTCGAACTATGGTCGTCTGGGCGCCCCCAGCGTTGTTGCCCACAAGATCCAGACAAAACCAATGAAGCGACACTAGATGTTTGACATAGGTTCCGCCTACAGACGTATCTAACATGGTGGCCCCGAGCCGGAACCATGCGTTTTTTCGAGGACGGGCCGAAGTATCGAACATGGTGGTCCCGAGCTGGAACCAACTGTTTTCACGTGTCCAGGCCGCCCAGGGTGGGGGGTTATCTGAAATGGTTGCCTCTGGCCCCTCGCTGGAACCACGTGTTTTCACCTGTCCAGGCCACCCAGAGGGGTATCTACCAATGGGCCCCTAGCTGGAACCATGTGTTTTCACGTGCCCATGCCACCCAGAGGGGTATCTACCATGGTGGTCCCTAGTTGGAACCATCGAACATGGTGGCCCCGAGCTGGAACCACGTGTTTTCACATGTCACGACCACCTAGGGCGGTATCTAGCATTCTTGCCCCGAGCTGAAACCACATGTTTTCACATGTCAAGTCCACCCAGGTGGGTTCTAAAATGGTGGTCTCTAGCTGGAGCCATTTTTTTGCGTGTCCAGTCCACCCAGGTCAATATCTAACATGGTGGTCACGGGCTGGAAGCTTGCGTTTTCACGACCGCATCTTAGATATCCGTCCCAGGGTGGCCTGGACACGTGACAACACGTGGTTTTCCGAACGATCCAGAGCGGGACAAGCGTGATACAATGTGGGCTCTGAACTCCCTAGGGCGGGGCGAGCGTGACAACACCATAGTTTCTACCGCACCTGAGCGGGACAAGCGTGAAACCCTTTTGGCTTCCTAACTCCCCAGAGCGGGACAAGCTTGAAAACACATTGGTGTCGAACGCCCACGGGTGGAACAAGTATGAAAACACATGGGATCCTCATGTTCCAGAGCGGGACAAGTGTAAAAACACTCCAGAAAGCGGGACAAGCGTGAAAACACAATGGTTCTTAACGCCCCAGCGCAGGACAAGCGTGAAACCACATTGGTTATTCATGCCCCAGGTCGGGACAAGCGTGAAAGCACAAGGGCTCATAACGCGCGAAAGCGGGAAAAGGCCGCCAAGGGGGTGGATCTAACATTGATGTCCCGGGCTGGAACCACGTCTTCGCGCGTCCAGGCCACACAGGAGGATGATTAACATGTGGTCGTCTGGCTCTATGCCTGAGCAAAGTGTGAAGTCGTCTCGAACGAGGGCTTCGGATCTGAATTGGATCTTGAGCTCGAGCTGGTCGAGCGCCCCGCTTGTTTCGATTACAAGCAGCCCAAGCTATGCGATCAGGCAGCTTGAGCTTAAGATCAAAATCAGCTCGGTCCGGATTCGGACGCCAAGGACGGGTTGATCCGCAATCAATGCAATAGCGCACGAAACAGTTCAATGCGGCATGTCTTCCGACACGTCCCTTGCGCTTCCTTTGACACGTCACTATGCGGCGCGGCACAGCGCAGAGCAGCACAACACAGCCTTTGGCACAATTTCATGAACATTGATTGATTTCTTCAGCACGGCCACTGCCCATCGCCCAATTGAGGTTCTTGGAATCGTTCCCATGCCTTGCAGTTCAAAGTCCCTATCCGGGTTCGTGGGTCGATCATGATGAGTGTCAGGCGTGTCTGGCGTGACGACGTTTGGTTGACAAGTGCCAGGCGTGCAGATTGGTTCGTGGCTCATGGCAAGACTTTGGTGGTAAGAAGGGCTTTTTTTCCAGAGAAAACTGTGAGCCCGCAGGTCGGGATCAGCTTCTGACGGCTCAGAAGCGTGCGCCTTCCGGGCGGAAGCCGCGAGGGCAGGCTTCTTATGTATGAGCTCGGGGTGTCAGGGGCAACGCTAGGGCGGGCATGCTCGTGGGGGAACGCCTCGGCCCCCCATAGCCAACTCGTCGCCGACGGGGGCCCGACAGCCCACACCTCCCACGACCGTGCGGATCTGCTATCGGGGTCCTATCGCCGATCTATCGGCGATGCACCGCCGATTCCAGGTCGATGCTTCCCCCTGAGCCAGTGCCCCCCCAACGTTCCCCCTCAGGGTGTTGCCTCGCAGGCTCGTGCACCGTCCAGTCCCACCAGGGGCAGGCGAATCGAGAGGCAGGGGTTCTATCCCATCGGGGCGCAGGAGGAGGACGAGAGGATGAGAGGATGTTCTTTGAGAGAGCGAGGAGGAAAAGAAGGGAAGACGAGGAGGCAGAGCGGATGAGGGGTAGAAGGAGGACGCATGCGCCGGATCTATATCATCCTCCTCCTCCTCATCCCCCTTCTCCTCTTCCTTGCAACCGTTACGGGGGGGGCTGGCGCTGGCATCGGCGGCGCAGGGCGGCGCTGGCTTCGCGGCGGTGGTGGACCTCCGGAGTGCGACCCCGGCGCAGCTGGGCTCCAAGTGGTGGCAGGCGCACCTCCGGACGTCAGATGTCCAAGCCTGGCTTCTCGGCCGCCCATGTGTTTGGTCACTGTTGCTCGAGGGGGCGGGGGACGGGAGGACGCCGTCGGCCCGTCACGCTTTGCTCTCCGCGTGTCTGTTGCTTTTTCCCCTCGTGCGATTCCTTGTTGCGTCTCCCTGTCACGGTTTGGTTGGCAAGACTCGCACTGAAGAGCGGGCCGTCTTCGGGTCATTCACGCCCCTCTGGTCACCACCGTGACCAATGCCGCATTGCGGGCTGTCTTTCTCTCTCTCTCTCTCTCTATCCCGCTTTCTCTTTCTGGCAATGCAGTGTTGCATCGACGCAGAGCTCCGCAAGCAGTCGACCCAAGTCCATGATATGTATCTTCCACATCCTCCTCATCCTCTTCCTCCTCCCCTTTTTTTCTCCACATTTCTTACTGATGCCCTGTCCCATCCTCGTCGGTATGCGTATAGTGCGCATGCCGCCGCTGAGCTCGCATTTCTGAAGGAGAATTCGTGTTGACCCCCCCCTTCGGCGACCATGGGGTTTTTCAATTAGAATGCTCTTCCCGGGGCTCGCACCTTGTTTCTACAAGGGAAAATGCGGGGTCACCAAGAGGGGCCATTGGCGCCCAAATTACAGCACCATAACAACAACAATATGTTTAAGACTGTTCGCTCTTCCTTGCTGGCGTGCCACTCAATACGTATATCCCAATCCCTCGATACCCGCCTTCTTCGTCTTCGATCGTGCCCCCATCGGGGTGTATCTTTCTTACCTGCAACGTGTGTATTTCCTGCAGCCCCTAAGGCAGGGAAAGAGAGGACGGATGGAAGGAAGGGACAAGGGGGAGGGAGGAGGATGGAACACGAGAGAAACTAGCAAGAGGGGGGCTAGGAGCAGAAAACACGTGACAGGACCAGACGGGCATCTCGGGCGGGTAGGCCCCAAAGGGCGGGTCGGGAAGGCGGACCCAGACGGCCAGGTCGAGCAGGCGGGTTGCTAAAGCGTGCGTCCTGCATGAGTCGCGAAGAAGTCTCGAGCGATAGCGCAATTCCCCAATAAGTCTTGCAGAAATCTACAGTGAGCGCGTGATTCCTGAGTGTCGAGGGCGTGGCGTCTGAATAAACTGCAAGGATGTCCCACGCGAAAGCGTGATTCCTGAATTAAAGTGTGAGGAAGTCCCTCGCGAGAGCGCGATTTGGGAATAAACTGTAAGGAAATCTCAGGCGGGAGCCGCTGTTGTTGCAAACCGGGGGCCAGGGGCACAGTTTGAGCAGGAAGATTTTCCCGGTAAAAACACAGCGAGCCACGGGAGGGGCTTTTCAATTGAAGAAGTACGCATGTTGCGCGAATGCGTGAGTCCTACATAATTCGCCAGGAAGTCTCGGGCGAGAGCACGATTCCTAAGTAAATGATGAGGAAGTCCCAGGCGAGAGCGCGATTCCTGAATGGCGAGAGCGTGGCGCCTGAATAAATTGCCAGGAAGTCACAGGCGAGAGCGCGATTCTTGGATAAATTGCAAGGAAGCCCTTAGCGAGAGCGCGATTCCTCAATAAATTGCGATGAAGTGTCAGGCGGGAGAAGACGGCGACGACCACGACCACGGCGACGACGACCACAAGGACCACGACGACCACGACCACAACCAGGACAACGACCGCGACCGCGACCACGCCGACGACAACGAAGACTACGACAGTCACGACCACGGCCACGACGTCGACAACGATCACGCCGGCTGTGACGACGACGACGACGACGACGACGACCGCGACCGCAACCACGACGGCCACCGCGACCCCGACGACAACGACCACGACCACGACAACGGCGACCACTGCCACGACGACGACCACGACAACGACCATGCCCACGACCACAACCACGACCACGACGAAACCGACCACGAGCGCGACGGCTACGACCACGACGACGACCACGACCACAACCACGACGACAACGACCACGACGGCGACCACCACCACGACGACGGCGACGACGAAAACCATCACGGCCACTGTGACCACGAACACAACGACCACAACGACCACGGCCACAACCAGGACGACGACCAGGTCCACGGCTACGATGTCGACCACGAGGACCACGATCATGACGACCACGACCACGACGACCGCGAATATCACGACATCGACTACGACGACGACGACCTCCCCATGGAGCCGCGAGGTCCAGTCTCTTGAGGGCTGTGTGCCGACATGGTCGCGGCAGCACCGTTGGGACTCGCACCTGGGCCTCTCGGTGGAGCTCCTCGCGGGGCCACGAGCCGTGCGAAGGTGTGCCGACATGGGCGCGGGGGCACAGTGCGGACCTTCCCGCGGGGGCCTGCGGTCGAGCTCCTCGTGGGTGCCGCGGGCAAGGGCCGCGCGAGGGCTCTCCGTGAGGTGCCAGGTCAGGGCACGAGCTGCCCCGAGGGGGCTGCGCCGAAGTGACCGCGGCGGCGCCTGGCACGCCCTCCCACGAGGGCCTTCGGCGGACCTCCCTAAGGGGGCGACGCAGCTGCGTGAGGGGTGCGCCGCGGCGATACCCTTTGCCCAGTGACCACTGTATTGCTTCAATTAACGTTTTCCTCCTGAGGCTCGCACCTGTATTTTTTACCCGGGAAGGTGTGGGGTCACCAAATTGTGTCTGCGGTCCTTGGGGTCACCAAATTGTGTCTGTGGTCCCTGAATTGCAGAAAACAACGGCTCCCGCATTAAACCTCCTGACAACTTATATCAAAATCGCGCTCTCGCGCAGGACCCCCTCACAATGTACGCAGGAACCGCGCTCTCGCGTGGGACTTCCTCGCAACATATTCAAACGCTGCGCCCTCGACGCTCAAGAATCGTGCTCTCGCTTTGGTTGCTTTCGCGTTTCACTTGGAGCCACGCTATCGCTCGAGACCTTAGCGACTCATGCAGTACCCACGCTTCAGCGACCCGCCTGCTCGACCTGGCCGCTTGGGCCCGCCTTCCCGACCCGCCCGTTATGGTCCACCCGCCCGATCAGCCCGTCTGTTTCTGCCACGTGTGTGTTGCTCCCAGCCCCCCCTGCGAATCCCGTGCTCCAGCCTTCCCACTCCCCCTTCCATCCGTCTTCGTCTCCCTTATTTTAGGAGCTGCACCAATTACACCCGGCGGGTAAGGAAGCTATTCCCCCAGGGGGTACGATCGAAGACGATGAGGTCGGGTATCGAGGGTTTGAGATATACGCTGTTCAACGACACGCGAGCAGGTAAGAGCGAACAATGTTGAAATGAGTATGGTTGTTGCTGTTGGTGGTGAAGCCAGCCTTTTTTATTAAAAAAAGTGTTCTTGATATCCCCTGCCCGGGCGACCATTGCTTTTTTTCAATTGAAGTAAGTAATCTTCCCAGGGTTCGCACCCTGCCTTATTTTCATGGAAAGTGTGGGGTCACCAAACTGTGCTCCTGACCCCGAGTTACAACAACAACGGCGCCCGCCTGATACTTCCTCACAATGTATTTCAGAATCGCGCTCTCGCGCGGGACCTCTTCAACGTGTATGCAGGAATCGCGCTCTCGCGTGGGGTTTCCTTCAAGTTCATTCAGACGCCGCGCCCTCGACAGTCGGGAATCATGCTCTCGCTTTGGCGGCTCTCCCGATTTGCTTGGGAATCGCGCTATACCTCGAGACCTCCTCGCGACGTATGCTGGACTCACGCTTCAGCAGCCCGCCTGCTCGACCTGGCCGCCTGGGCCCGCCTTCCCGACCCGCCCGCTAGGGCCTGCCCGTCCGATTTGCCCGTCTGGTTCTACCACGTGATTTCCGCACCTAGCCCCCCTCCTGCTAGTTTCTCTCGTGCTCCATCCTCCTATGTCCCCCTTCCGTGCGTTCTTTCTTCCCCTGTTTAAGGGGCTGCACTAAATGCACGTGGCAGGTAAGGAAGATATACTCCCAGGGGGGTACGATCGAAGGCGAAGAGGGCGGGTACCGAGGGGTTGGGATATACGTGCTGAATGGCACGCAAGCAGATAGGAGCGAACAGTCTTAAAATGGTTGTTGTTATGTGTTTCCCCCGAGCGCCCGAATTGGCGAAGAGCACGGTAGAGCACACGTTTGAGGGGCGTTGTTTTGTATTGCGTTTTCTGCGCAGTGGCGGCGCTCCTTGGGCCAGGCAAAGATTCAAGGCCAGCACACACACACACACACACACACCACCCTCAAGCCGCATTGTGGAATGTGGGCCCACGAGTTTCCAGATCTCCTCGACCGCCATGCACCATGGACGTCTAGCAACCTCACCGCACGTAGTATCAAGCAGGCTCCGTCGTCACAGAACCGTGGCGAGGCTGACTGGAAGAAACACTCGGGAACGTAGAGTCTGATACCGACCAGATTCACTGTGGTGCTAGGTACGGCGCGGGCGCGGCCATGTCGTGCACTTGCATGTACTGATGGCTGCGCTGCCTGTAGCGACTAGAACGCTGATGGCCGAAACGATGTGTACACGACACGCGCGGAGGTTCAGGGATACCCGGGCGCAGACAGGCATGTTCGCCGCGCAGGGACTAGGCATGGAAAAAGTATTGGATTGTGGTTTGGATAGGCGCGCGGTGAGAAATATCATGATGATTGAGTGATCCTCCCCTGAAGCGCCCAAGATCGAACGTCAATATCGCGAAAACTATTAGTCCAGAAATCCCCAGGTCCTAAGCCCCCGAATGCGTAAAGGCCCAACTATCTGCACAGTCGGGGCACGTGCACGGCAAAGTGGTGTTGGCCGTTTGAAGTGAGGCGGGCATGCAGCGTCGTGCCAGACCGGCGCAGGTGTTTCTGCCGGCTTTCGTCGACCGCATCGTCACGAGCTCTCGAGGGCACGCGCATTGCCGTTGCCGCCGCCGCTTCTTGTGCTTCCAGCAGCCGCCGCGTTCAGCCTGACCAGGGCGTAACGTCCGCGTTTCTGTTGCATGGGCTACCCATACAGTCGGACCGAGTTATCAGATCGAGGTCGGTTCTGGGAGGGTACCCTAATGTTCTTCATGTTTGTTGGATATTCTTGTGCATCTTGGGGAGGGTACACTTGGATGTTCTGTTTGTCTTGGCCGACGGAGGGTCTCATGTTCTTGATGGATGCTCTTCTGGCCTAGGTCCGACTGTAACCTCATCGTCCGTCGCAGTCACATATTGGATGATGCTCCTTTTGAGTGAGCGTGTATTGCATTGTTGTTGCGCTACTGCTGAAGCAGGGCCGTCCTCATGGTTGCCTTGCGGATTCCGCTTCCACAGCTTGACGTGTATCCTAGGGACATGCAGTGTTCATTGGGCAACGCTGTTGTACAGTAGTTTGCCAGCACGCGTAAGCGCGTAAGCGAAACTTCATGGTGCGCCTATCGCCTCTCGGCTCTAGGGATTATACCAGGTTTTGTTTAATGTAAGTAAAGTGTTGCCGCTTGTGGAGCCCAACCCCGTCCAAGCGGTTCAAGGGTTCAAGGGCCAATTCTTGACATACCATGTATCCCCACCATCCCATCCAAAAACAGATCGCCAGGCGAGCTGCCTTGATCAGGGGTGTAGAAGCATTCATTGTAACAACCGCCTTGGACGTGTTTTCTCGGAGGTCGCTAGGAGCCGTTTTGGGTCTCTCTTGGGGTCCTCGCGGAGTCACTTGGGGCACTTCGGGAGCCCTTTTGGGGTTCTGTTAGGGGGTCTGGGGGCCCTTTGGGTGCTTTTTGGCGGGTCTGAGGGATCTCTTGGGACCGTCTGGGGCCCCCCTTTACGCGCTCTTGGGGCCATCTTGGAGGAGATCGATCAAAGAAGGGGGGGGATCAATTTCGGTCCCCCCTCGGAGAGAGCGCGTTTCACGGGCGCTTGCCTTGGGAACACTCGGCGGCGTGGGCCCCCGCGCCGCCAGCGCCGGCGCCGCGCCGCGCCGGCGGGCCGGCGCGGCGGGGGGGGTTGGACCTGGCGCCGGCCAGCGCCGGGTCCAACCCCCCCCCTCCTCTCTGGTAATAGCGTCCCCGCCGTCGGCGCTGCTGGCGGCCGCCAGCGCGGGCGCCGGCGCCAGCGCCGAGGGGGGGGGGGTGGACCCCCCCCCCTTTGGGAGGACGTGGAAGGAGAGGGGGGGTTGCCCCCCCCCCCCCGCGCCGGCGCCGGCCGGCGCCGGCGCTGGCGGCGGCCAGCAGCGCCGACGGCGGGGACACAGCGACGATTACCAGAGAGAACCCAGAGGCCCTCGACCCTCAGAAGCCACCGAGAGGCCCTGAGCAAGGTGCGCGAGCCTTCACACGTGCTCCTCAGACACCCCCGAGACCTTTCTGACGAGACCTCAGGAGGCATCATCCATTAGAACTCTGACCCAAAGCCAAAACACAGTGGCGGGAAGAGCCGAAGGCCACACCATCATCACCACCACAAACCACCACACCACCACGACCACCACCACCACCACCACAACCACCACATCCCACCACCACCACCACCACAACCACCATCACCACTAACCACAACAACACCACCACCAAAACCTCTCCACCACCACCAGCACCGCCACAATCCACCACAACCACCACCACCGCCATTATCACCACATCCAAAAAGCACCACACCATTACCACCACCACCACCGCTACACCCACAACCATCACCACAACACACCAGCACCACCACCACCACCACAAACCACCACACCACCACCGCCACAACGACCACCACCACCACCACCCACCACCCACCAACACCACCAGCGCCGCTACCAGCAGCAGCACCACAACCACCACCAACACCACAGCCAACCACCACCACCACCACAAACCACCACGCCACCACTACCACCACCGCCACCACCACGACCACCACCACCACCACTTCAACCCACCACCACCATCACCACCACACCACCACACAGCCACCACCACCGCAGCCACCACCACCACCACCACAACCACCACCACAACTCACCACCACCACCACCGCAACCCACCACCACTACCACCACCACCACTACAATCTACCACACCACGACCACTACCACCGCCACACCCACCACTACTACCAGCAGCATAACCCACCACCACCACCACCACAAACCACCACACCACCACCACCACCAGCACCACCTCCACAAACCACCGCCGCCACCACCACCGCCACCACCACCACCACAAACCACCCCGACACGAGCACCACCACCACCACCACCGCCACCACCAACACCACCACCACAACCCACCACCACCATCACAAACCACCACCACACCAACCACCACCGCCGCCACCACCAACACAACCCACCACCACTACAACCACCACCCCAAACCACCACACCACCACGACCAGCACAACCTGCCACCACAACCACCACCACAACAAACCACCACCACCACCACAACCACCAACCACTGCCACCACCACAACCACCACCACAACCCACCAACACCACCACCACAACCCACCACCACAACCACCACGACAAACCACCACAACCACCACTGCCACCACCACCACCACTTCAACCCTCGGCCACCACAACTACCATAACCACCAACAGGAACCACCGCACCACCACCGCCACCACCACCACCACAGCCTGCCACCACAACCACCACAACAACCACTATCACCACCAAACCGTCAGCCTCACGGCATTGACGTGAGGTTTGTGGTCAGTATGAGACAAAACACTACCACCACCACCAACCACACCACCACCACCACCACCGCCACCACCACCACCGCCACCACCACCACCACCACAGCCCACGACCACGTGGAGGCTGCACAACTGTCCACCAGCGGCCCTTGAGAGCCCTCCGACGAGACCCCTAGAGGCATCCATTAGGATTCTGACCCAAAACCAAAGCACGGTGGCGGAGCGTCGTCGTCGTCGTCATCGTCGTCGCCGTCGTCCTCGTCGACGTTCGCCGCCGCCGCCGCCCGCCGCCGCAGGCGCCAGCGCTGGCCCAGAAAAGGAAGCCGTCGTCCCAGCCGCCGCCGCCAGCCGCCGCCGACGGAGGCGCCGGCCCGAGGAGAGGGAGAGAGGAGAGGTGGGGGAGGAAGGGGAGGGGAGTGGGGCGGGGGGGGAGTGTCAACCCTCCTCCCTCTCTATCCAGGGGGGGGGTCCGTCTCCACCCCCCCCCCCAAGCGGCGACCACAGAACTCGCACTTTCCCCCCTCGGAAGCTCCAGGATAGCCTCTTGGGGGCCTCTTGGGCCGCTGTTGGGCGCCTTTGGGGCACTCTTTGGGCTGTCTTGGGTCCGTTCTGGGCCCTTCTGGAGCCTCCCTTGAGCTATCTTGGAGCCATCGTGAGGCCCAAGAAGCTATCGGGAGCTAAAAACGGGAAGCCCGAACGCGTCGATTTCGTTTTAGGTGTTTGGAGGATTTGGGCATTTTGGGAAGTGTTTTTGGAGGCGGGAGTGGCGCTTGGCACCCTCTTGGGGCTGTGTTGGGGCGTCTTGCAGGCTTGTCGGAGGCCATCTTGAGCGATGTTGATGTATCTTGAGCCATCTTGGAGGCCCTCTTGGGCGGTCTTGGGCCCTCTTGGGGCCATCTGGGACCATCTTGGGCGCGCTGACGGCCCCGCCCCCCCCCCACTCCCAGGGCCAGGGGAGGGGGCAGGGAGAGGGGTAAACCCTTCTCCCGAGCAGAGGGCTGGTGGGATTGCTGGCAGGGTGCTTGAATACGTAAAGGCATGGATTAGACTTGGTGGACGATTTCAAATACTCCTCGAGTGTTGGGCAGCCCCTGCTTCAGGAAGGTATCATATACCCTCCTCCTTTTCCTCCTCCTCCTCCTCCTCCTCCTCCTCCTCCTCCTCCTCCTCCTCCTCCTCCTCCTCCTCCTCCTCCTCCTCCTCCTCCTCCTCCTCCTCCTCCTCCTCCTCCTCCTCCTCCTCCTCCTCCTCCTCCTCCTCCTCCTCCTCCTCCTCCTCCTCCTCCTCCCCCGTCCACCTTCGGTGAGCCGGCCCCACCCTCATGCCCGTAGTTCCGCCGCGGGCTATGGAGACCATGTGATTCGTTGCCTCCTTTTCCTCCTCCTCCTCCTCGTCGCCACTCCTTGTGCAGCAAGGTACGGCGACAATTCACGACGAATGCCTGTGGTCGCATCACTTACATGACACAGCGTTGTCAGGGACCCTTCGAGGGGTGTTGCCTGCGGGTATGTGTATGTTGTTGTGGAAGCCTTCGTATTTCAAGAGGAGTGAATCACCTTGAGTACACACACGAAGACACATACAGTTTGTTTCAGTGGCCTGTTTTCTACAAAGAATAAAAACGAGAATGGTGCAGATTTACTGTGGACACCCTGACTCAGTTTGGTGACCCTGGTGTCATTGGAAATTCTGAGGCTCCGCAGGGACGTAACATGTGACACGCTCTTCGACAGGCTCGAGAATACACTTACGCACGATCGTTGCAGGGCCCAGAGCCGTGACAAGTGACGCATCTCTTCTCCAGGTGGAGGAGTGCCGGTGTAGCCTTTTTTTGTGAGGAGGTGGCCGTAATACATGACACTTATTTCCCCCAGTGTCCAGACTGCCGCGATAGCAGTGGTAGGTAATGCTACACAGCGCCTTGGGAGCGTATGTGGACCTTTGGTGAGCTTCTTGGGAATCTCCGGGCCCTTTTTTATGGGTGAGGTCTTGGGGCTGTTTTATAAGGTCCGTGGTTTTCTTGCTGGCGTCTTGGGGCAGTTTGGGAGGCGTTTGGGGGCAGGCTTCGTCGCAGTCTGGGGGTCGTCTTAATGCGCACCCTCTTGATGTCAATTTGGGGGGCTTGGGTTCGGGTCTGGCCACTCCGGGCGTTCCTTAGGGCCTCTTGCGGCCTAGCCTACTGGAGCGCGGAAGGGTGAAAGGCCACAAACATCAATCGCATGGTGA